GGAACCAGCCCACATAACTTTCAGATAGATAGTATTCATGAATTTGCAGTCACCAGAAGTAATTCTGAGCTTCTAGACTTAGTGGACTTTTTTTCTTTAGAAGGGTTTTTTTCTTTAGGTAATTCCATAAAATATAATAGGTATCAGAAAAGTTGAAACATCCTTTCTTAATGAGGAAGATATCTTTGAAATATTCCTTTGTGATAAAAAAGCTGTTTTAATTAGATGGCTCTTTGCTGGGTGCCAGATTTAAATATCTAACTGGCTGCTACAGGGATTTTTTTTACCCCAATTTTATTGAGAAATAATTGACATATAACATTGTATTAGTTTAAGGTGTACAACATAGTGATTTGATATGTGTATATATGTGAATTGATTACAATAAGTTTAGTTAACATCTGTCACCATACATAGTTAGAATTTTTTCTTGTAATGAGAACTTTTAAGATCTGCTCTCTTAGCAACTTTCAGATATACAGTAGTATTGTTAGCTATAGTCACCATGCTGTATATTACATCCCCAGGACTTAGATAGTTTGTAATTGGAAGTTTGTACCTTTTGACCACCTTCACCCATTTTCCCCCCTCACCCCCCACTTCTGGCAACCACCAATCTGTTTTCTGTTTGTATGAGTTCAGTTTTTTTAGATTCCACGTATAACTGAGATCATATGGTATTTGTCTTTCTCTGTCTGACTTATTTCACTTAGTGTAATGCTCTCCAGGTCCATCCATGTTGTCACAAATGGCAGGATTTCCTTCTTTGTTTATGGCTGAATAATATTCCCTTGTATGTATGTACACACCACATTTTCTTTCACAGGGACATTTCCATCTTTCTCTGTTCACATCCCAGAGGAATTTGAGACTCTCCTTATCCAAAGTTGACATCTGGAGGTTCCCTCTCCTTGCTTTGCCCCATTACCCAGAATAAGCTCAGAGGTCATTGTTAGCACCCCTTCTCTGTGACCTGCTCACATCCGATCAAGTCTGGTTTAACTTACCAGCACATCTCTCTCAGACTCTTGGTCCATCCTGGCTACCATATCTCCTTCACTCTCCTGTCTTGATGAAGTAACCTCAACTGGTCTCTCTCCTTCAGTCTTTCCCCTTGCTGTCCACTCTGCCCCCAGTCATGTTTCTAAAATAGAAGTGTGGTCATGTGTCTCCACCAGTTCGGCCTTGACTTTAGGACAGAGACCAAGCCCCAGTGCCTCCCACTGTGTGTCCTTCAGAAGTGCTCCTAAAACAGAATGCAGTTTTTTCTTCAGTGCTTTTGCACATGTTTGTTCCTGTCTGAAATGTTCTGCCAACTGGCCCTCTCTCACTCCAAATTTGTCCACCTCTCTAACTGCTCTTCCTTCCTTAAAACTCAATTATCACTGTTTCTGGAGTGACCTTCTTGAAACCTCTCCCTTGGGGTGATCACGTGTGTGCTTTCTCTTCTTTGCTCTTAAACTCACAGTATTGTCATTTATTTGTTTACAAGTCTGTCTTCTCTACAAAAGCCCAGCTTTTGTCTTACACATTCTGTGTTTATAGTACCTAGCAAAGAGTGAATAAGTGCTCCAGTATTTGCCGAATGGCTAAGAAATTTGTTAATGGGACGTAAGTATCCTGCAGCCTTCTAAAAACTGTTAGGTTAGCGAACCTTTCAAACTGATAGTCTATTTCACTTAGAATACTTTGGAGGAAGAATATAGTCATTGGTCTTCAGGAGATTCTTAGAGGGCAGGGTTCTAATTCCCAAAGCCAGACGAAAACTCTAGCTTCCTCAGTAATCCACTGGTGATCACTCATGTGAACTTAGTAAGTCCGAATATGGGTCTCTTATCCCTCAGCAAGCCATTATGCAGGGCCCCTATGTGATGGCTGCATGGTGGTGTTTGGAGTCTTGATTTTGCAGAATGAAAGATGCCATATAATTACTCTCCATGTTTTGGTTCCACAGCTTTATGAAAACTTCATCAGTGAATTTGAACACAGGTGAGACTCTCTTGTCAGTTTTTGGCTTTGAAAATGAAAACCTTGGTACTTCCTGACTCTCAAAGACCGTTGGTTTTTATTTCAGGGTGAATCCTTTGTCCCTGGTCGAAATCATTCTTCATGTAGTTAGACAGATGACTGGTGAGTCTGACCTTGTTTCATAAAGGAGCACATTCAAATGTAATTAAAATGGTCTTGAAATATAAGTTAATTGAACTTTTGTATTTTGATTAAAAAATATCAGATTCTAAATTATGTTTTTATTATATTTTATGGTCTAAACCCAAAGATTGTCCTACCTGAAAGTGTCCTGGTTGGTGGAAACCAGTGTGTTGGTGGTTCTTCTCACTTAGTTCTTCTTTCTCTTCTAGATCCTAATGAGGCTCTTACTTTTCTGGAAAAGACTCGTGAGAAGGTAAATGGGAAGTTTGAGCCAGGCCTTTAAAACATGTGTGACTTACAGTTTGTCTGTGCTCCCTGTCCACACCTCTAGAGACCTGTGTGTCTCTAGTTGTATGAGTTGAGTCAGGTACAGGTGCCTTGCTGGTCTGCTGCCCACACTTCTGAGCTTTCTTGTTTCTGGTGACTGTAGGTGAAAAGTAGCGAGGAGGCAGTGATCCTGTGTAAAACCGCAATTGGAGCTCTAAAATTAAACATCGGGGACCTCCAGGTCACAAAGGTGAGAGCATCATGGTATCGATTTATCTTTGGTAAAAGCTGTTTAAAACTTTTAGGGGAACATCCTGTTTTTCCTCTTTAACTATTTATTTAAAAGTAATTTCAAATTACAGAGAAGTTGCAATAATAGCACAGAGAACTCTGCTGTCCTTACCTCAGAGTCCCATTGTCAGTACTTCAACATTTTGCCCTATCGTTCTGTGTGTGTGTCTACTTGTTGTTTTGGGTTTTTTTTTCCAAAACTATTTAAGAGCAAGTTGCTGATGCAATGCCTGTTACCCATAAACAAAAGAGTATGACTCGTGTGACCACAGCACGTCCATCCAGCAGGAGTGCACACACCAGTGGGTTCTCGCTGACCTGGGTCAGCCTCCTCACCACTGACAGGGCCTGTGCTGCTCCTCCACCCTCTTGCTGCCTCCTGATCATTCTTGATGTCTCCTGTGTGGTTTATGCCTTTCTTGTTTTCATTCTGGTATAGTTTGGGGACAGGCGTGGGTGTGGGTGGCAGTTAGACCACCTTATGTGGGCAGTCCACCTTGTTTAGCCAGACTGCATGTGTTTATTTTGGTTTGGGTAACTAATATTAAAGAAAATATTGAGGGTAAGTGTTCATATTCTCGTTGGCCTAAGAAAATACTTCTTATTGCTTCCCAGTCATAGCGCGCGTGCATACTAACTGCATTTTGTTTTGAAATATTTAAGCCTTACTGAAAGCTATAAAATACTATGAAGAATGCTGTAACAGGCATCCATGGGCCCAAGCCAGCTTAGGAATGAAGCCACACAGCACAGATGGAGCTGCTAGGCCCCTCGGACCACCTTCCTCCCCCAGCAACACTCCCTCGCTCACGTCTGGCGTTTCTCATGCTCACGTGTGTCCTTATGCTTCCCCAGACAGTGATGTGTACCTCTAAATGACACATGGCATTGTTCTGAATCACTGGCTCAATGCTAGCCTTGAGAGTCATCGTGTTGATGTTGTGACCAGTTCATTTTTACTATAATGTGGTCCTTCACTGTATAAATGCTTCACAGCCTGTGTGTCCGGGCTCCTACTGAAAGGATTCAGGTTGCTTTTTTCTGTTACAAACAATACTGTTGTCAGCCTCTCTGTGCCTGGCTCCTGTGTATATAGGCAGAATCTCACCAGGGTATACACCCGGGGGGGAGACTACAGTGTAAACCTCATGCTCTTCACCTTTGCCAGACATTGCCAGATGTTTCTCAGATGTGGCTCAAGCTCCCGGAGCTCCACACGGCACTCCTGAAGCTCCATGTCTTCAACACTTGGTATTTTCTGACAGTCTGATTCTTGCCTGATCTGTCTGATCTAACGGAGATGAAACAATATCTCGTAGGGGGTTTAATTTGCATTCCTTGATTACTGGTGGTTCATTGACCACTCTATTTATGTCTCCACTTCTGTAAATTGCCTGTTAGTATGTTTTCTTTTGCCCAGTTTTCTGTGTTTAGGATAAACTGAAGTTTTCCATCTTGATGTAGTCAAATTTATCAGTCTTTGTGGCTTATGCTTTTCATCTTGTCATATATTACTTTAAAGATGTTTTAAATTAAAAAGAAAGGTGATTTTGCTTCTGACATATAGGAAACGATTGAAGATGTTGAAGAAATGCTCAACAACCTCCCTGGTGTGACATCAGTTCACAGTCGTTTCTACGATCTCTCTAGCAAATACTATCAAACGATTGGAAACCACGCATCCTACTACAAAGATGCTCTGCGGTTTCTGGGCTGTGTCGACATCAAGGATCTGCCAGGTAACACAGGCTATTCAGTCCGAGTCGCACAAGGAGCTCACTCTCAAGACCTAACAACTAGAGGCACTTGAGGCAGCAGGTCTCAGCAGTTACTCAGGTGCCTTCATCCCTTTTGGGAGAAAGCCCACATGGCTAGAGGGTGGGAGGAGTTTAAGCTCTAGTTTCTCTGCTGTGTTCATCGTCAGTATTTAATTCAGGTGAAGACAAGGCTGTTCCTCATGGCCCTTACTATTCCTTCTCCAAGTCCTTAGTGTTACCTGGGTCAGAGGTGTTTGTAAGAATCACAGTGATGCAAGTATCTTAACCCTTGCAGGAGGAAGGGCACGGTAGAACCCCTGAACCTGAGATGCTTGTTCTGAAAACTGAAATGCTGGACCAAGGGGAATAAATTACAAAAATCTTTCAAGAATTTGAGGGTGGACAGAAACATGACCAGTGAGTTTTGGGAAGAATGCAAGGAATGTGTGTTTAGAAAAGAAATTTTAGCCTATTTCAGCATATTTTAGATGTTTTTCACAGTATATTGTTGAAGCTAAGGAGACTAGCAACTCCTAAAAATGTTAATGCAGTTTTAATTGCTTCATCTCAAGAAAAATATATTGGAAAAAGCAAATAATGTGATCAAGAGAATAAGGAAATTGCTGTATGGGAACAGAAAATAGGTTGATTCGTCTAGGAGGGGTTAAACGTGATGACTCTGCAACCAGTAAGGTGGTGCTGCTTCCCATAACAGGCAGGAGATAAGGAACATTTTACTCCAGGTAGTAGATAGGCTGAAGATACAAATAGGTTCACATACCTGTAGGGAAAAAAATAAGTGAATGAACGTCTTTCCCGCAAAACCCATAGATGTGGTTCCAGGTATAATTTAAGTCAACCCAGTGCTTTAGAAGAGATGACTAACATTAGGGCTTTGTAACATAATCATAACGGAGAATGGTTTCTGTACTTTTTTATGTGAGATTTTTAAAGCCAGACAGGACTGATTCCCGTGACTGGGGTGTAACTGGAGGTGTGTTGTTGCCGCAGTGTCCGAGCAGCAGGAGAGAGCTTTCACGCTGGGACTAGCAGGACTTCTTGGCGAGGGAGTTTTTAACTTTGGAGAACTCGTAAGTGGACCCTGGGCACAGATTCCTGAACAGCGGGGAGACTGTGATTTTTGGCCAGCTAACCACCTCCGTCCTCACAGCTCATGCACCCCGTGCTGGAATCGCTTAGGAGCACCGACCGGCAGTGGCTGATTGACACCCTGTATGCCTTTAACAGTGGCAACGTAGAGAGATTCCAGACTCTGAAGACTGCCTGGGGTCAGCAGGTCAGTCTCGGACAGGGACGGCTGAGCGCTCCCACAGTACTCCTGGCTCTCCATCCATGTGTCTGTTCGTTTATTCAACAAATGTTTACTGAGCACCTCGCCTATACACGCCAGGCCCTTGGGAGGGAGGGCACTAAGACAGGCCAGTGTTCCTCTCATAGAACAGGTAGTTAGATGGCTAATTAGTTACAGTAGTAACTCAATAACTGTAGAAGTGTTCTGTGCTACAATGGAGAGAATATGATAAGGGAGTTTCATCTGTGCTGGGCAGAGAATTCCCAAAGGAAGTAATGGCTATGTGTGTGACCTCAGCGATCAATAGAATTAGCCAAGTGAAGAGTATGGAACAGCATATTCAGCGAGGAAAAGGAAGCTTTAACACGTTGCTGGACTGAAATAGGGCATGTGAGTCTGAAGTGAATGAATGATGAGAGTGGGAGAGAGGAAGGGGTGAGGGAGGGAGGAAGGAGCAGTCAGGGTAGGGGAGAGGGGTCAGTACAGGGGAGGGGTCAGTGCAGGAGAGGGGGCTGCAGTGCACTAGAGGGGTCGGTGCAGGAGAGGGCGCTAGGAGAGGGGGTGCAGGTGAGAGTAGGAGCCTCAGGGAAGTGGAATTAGGGAGAAGAGGTGCTTAACAAGGATGTGAGCTTTTACAGTAAGTTTATTCTTTTTAAAATGAAATTATTAGAAGCAAATATTACTGAAATGTTAACAGTGATAGGAATTATGATTGTGTTGTTTCTGTACTTTTCTGAAACTTTCGATTTTCTCAACATTCGAAATAAACTTGTAATTCACACGTAACAGAGCAGAGGAGATGTAAATGGACTGTGAAGAGGCAGAAAGCAGATCCAGCCAAATCTGACTGTAGTCTGTGTGTTGATATCTCAAAGAAAAAAATGCAAATTGGAAAGAAAGATGGCTAGCCATAGAAATTTAAAGAAAAGAAAGACCTTCAGAGGCGCATGCCAGCAGTATGTGTCTAGGCAACAAGAGCCCATTCTGGGGAGCAGGCCCTTTCTGAAGAGCTCGGCCTGTCCAGTGCCTGGGCAGGGGCTCCCCGTGCCAGGGCGTGAGTCACTGAACGTTTGAATCAAGTAATCCACCCTCCTTGGTTTGATTCTGTGCTCAGCAGATAACGATTTGATGCACCTGCCAGGAGTTTGCAGAGGGTGTGCTTCTGGTTCTCATGACAATGCTATTTCTCGTTGTAAATTAATAACTTGCTCTTTCGGTGTGGAACAAGTCCCTGGAACTTAAGGTGTGTGTTTCTCAGAGGCCCCACTTACATCCAGCTGCCTGAGCAGGTTGTGCATCCAGACCCGCTCTGGCACAGGCTGTGTCCTTCCCTGCCTTTCCTCATGCCAAGAATCTTCCCCAAACGCCTGTGCCCTGTGGTCCTGCCCCTGTTTGTGACATTAGTACCAATCTTACCTTGTAAATTCCTTTCTTGGAAAATGGCCTTTCAGCTAGGCACTCTGCTAATGATTCCCTAAGAAGAGGAAGATTCAAATCTGTTGAAGTGACAAATGAGCCTCAGTGATCTACCACATGAAATGTTTGGACCTGCCACATTTCTGTGTTCGATCTACTGTTGTAGAAAGAATTTCAAAGCCCAGGTTAGGTGACTAATGTCTTTCTACTTTACAGCCTGACTTAGCGGCCAATGAAGCGCAGCTTCTGAGGAAAATTCAGTTGTTGTGTCTCATGGAGGTAAGCAGGCATCGGGAATCATTTTGTGACTGCAGACCCTACAGGTGAGCCCAGGCTCACTCTCTGAGCCTTACCTAGGGCCTGCCCCCTCCACCTACATCCTGTCCCTCTGCCACCACTTGCTTCTTGAAGTTTGTGTTTGGGTCTCAGCTTGGATGACCCCTCCTCAGAGAGATGTTCCCTGACGGTCAGAGCTAAGGCAGTGGCCACTTTGTTGCACGTACTGCTCTCTGTCTGCGTGCTCTTCTGGCTTCCCCACCAGAATCTAAGCTTCCTGAGAAAAGGGACCTTCTGGTTGGCCACAGCATCCCAGCCGCTTGGTCAAGAAGTGAAGAGTGGCTCTTGCAGGAAACTGCTGTAAAGCTTCCTTCACCTTCTCATCTGAGCATTGAGAGCTTGCTCTTAAGATAGATGACTAATATTAAGAGAATTTTAGGATGTGGGATACTGATAAGATTTATGTTTTCAGAGCAAGTATTGACAGAAATGTCCTTATCAATCAGTTCTCTGACAATTTTTATTTGGAAAAGTAATAAATGAAAATTTTTTTTAGATGACTTTCACACGACCTGCCAATCACAGACAACTCACTTTTGAAGAAATTGCCAAAAGTGCCAAAATCAGCGTGAACGAGGTATAGTTGTCCTCGGACTTGATGTTACAGCAGCACAGCTGCTACCAGAGGGGTCAGGGCTGCTCATGTCAGCACACTGCTCCCCACATTCAAAACCACGTCCTGTTTCCTCCTGTGCCAGACCAGGGGGTCCACAGGTGTGTGTATGTTGGCGTCAGGTTGTCCCACACGAGCCCTCTCTGCAGGTGGAGTTGCTGGTGATGAAGGCGCTGTCCGTGGGGCTGGTGAAAGGCAGCATTGATGAAGTGGATAAGCGCGTTCACATGACCTGGGTACAGCCCCGCGTGCTGGATCTGCAGCAGGTGACGTGACTGAAGTGCAGAGGCTACCCTTGGGGGGTGGGGTGTTTTAGTTTCGTTTGAATGGAGGCCATTTAGGAAGAAAGCGTTACTAGATGAGAGATTTCAGAGAATGAGTTACTGCTATAGGGACTAAGGGTCTTTCAGAGACTCTAATTTAATGCAAGCCTGGGATTTGAACCCTGCATTTAAAAGATTATTTTGACAACAGTGCTGGTTGTGCTGATGATGCATTTTAATCTTAAAATTGGTACCCTGATCAAACATGTTCCTTGTTCTGTGATTTGAGCTCAAATCCATCTTGTTCATATTGGCTGGAAATTTAATCTTGTGGATTTCCTCTATTCTCGCCTGTTTTCTTTCATGCAATTTTTTGAATGTCCTTGCGATAAGAATTGACTGGGATAATCCTGTCTCACACCCCACTCCTCCAGCTCTGATGTCCTTTGTATTAGTGCTGCCCTCAAGAACTAGCTGGAAATTTAGAACTGCCCCCATCAGGCACTTTGTCTTAATACCCGTGTGGTCCTGGTTTGCCCCCAGATCAAGGGAATGAAGGACCGCCTGGAGTTCTGGTGCACCGACGTGAAGAGCATGGAGATGCTGGTGGAGCACCAGGCCCATGACATCCTCACCTAGTGCCCCCGCCTGGCCTGTCTCTGGGCAGCTGTTTTGTGGCTGGTGAACCTGGCAACTAAGATCTGCATTTAATTGGGGGTGGGGGTTGGGATTCTGTTTTGAGTAGGGACTGTTCTTGCTGTAAAAACAGGACTGTCATTGATGGGGGGCCTGGCCAGAGGGAGAAGCCTTCTGTGTGGGTACCTCCTGTAGCCTGCAGTGGCGAGGGTCGCTGTGTCTCAGGATGAGGCAGGCAAGAGTGTGGGTACCCCGAGGAAGGGAAGGTGTGGAGGACCCCACTCCAAGGCTGCTCTATGCATCCCCCTGTGTGAACCTCTTTTCCAGTGTGATTGGAGAATGTTCCTGGAATAAACACCTTTGCTTTGTCGTTTCTATGGTGGTTTCCTTATGCTTAGCTTCCAGGGCAGGCCTGTGCCTGAGGACATGGAAAGACAGGAGATGGAACCTAAGGAGGGCTCGGTGGGGTCTGGCCTTGGCCCTGCTCTCCCTCTGCTCTGAGAAAAGAGCATCCCTCACACACACGGACTGGGGCAGAGCCAGGCTCGGAGGGCCGTAGGCACTGCAGCCGAGGAGTCAAGTCCTGTCTTTATTGTCACCCAGAGAGACGTGTCCACCCCATTGCCACCCAGCCAACAGCTTCTATGACCCGAGTGCCCCAGTGCTGACACAAGCAGCCCTCAGAGAGCCCAATGCTGGGTGTACAGGGAGGGGTGCACGTACACAAGAAGCCATCACCATGTGGATGTTAGGAAGAGGGAATGGTTTAATATGATCCTTTATCCTGTGCTGGAGCCTTCATTCTGCAGAGCTGCGCTTGTAATTCTCCAGGTGGTATAAGACCCAGCCTGCAGGGATCAGGAAGCTGAGGAACATCACAGAGAGCCCGATGGCCTGCTCCTGGGTCGAGGAGAGCACACATGAGTCCACTAGGGCCAGTTACAGGGGTCAGTCTTGGGGCATGAAGGGGGCTGTCTACCTCCCCACTGTCCCCGGGGCCTAACCACAGCAGCAGGCGAGTTAGAGCCGGACTGCCCCCCTGCTCCTGTTGGACCCTTGGTGTAGCCTGTGGGCCGGGTCTGCAGTGTCAGGTGTAGAAAGCTGCAGTGCCAACTGCAGTCAGGGAGCACAGCCTCTGCAGAGACCAGGAAGAGCAGCCTTGCCCTCCAGCCCGTGGGGCGGGGCCTCTTATCACAGCCCCACCCCCTGCATAAGAGCCTTCCGGAAGGCCAAAGCCCAACGTCGCTTGACCTTGAGCTCCTTCCTGCCAGGCGTGAAGTGCACCCTCCTGGTTACCTGCGACCTGTGCATATTGTACTGTGCGGGGCAGCAGAGACAACTGAGATTTTAACTCGCTGGAAACAAATTCAGGACCCTTTCTCTAAACGGTCCTGTTCAGAAGCTCGAATGGAGGTGGGATTCCCCTGCTGTGAGAGTGAGTGTGTGTGTGCGCGCACAAAGGCCATCCTGCTGGAACCCTGTGATCTCAGTGGCTGAGCTTCCGGAGCCAGGTTCTGAAGCACCGGCTGTATTTCACCTTCACTCAGTCTCCTCCTGAAGCAGCCTGGGTCCAGTCCCCCCTCCCCACTCTTCCTAAAGCTGAGTCAAATACAAGCCTGGAGACCAAGCCTTCCTTGTGACTTCACTCCCAGAGTTTTGAGAGCACTGCACTGGCCTGGGACAGGGACCTTAGGCTGGGTTCAGGTCCTCGCGTGATCTAGCTTTATGACCTTGGGCTGATGACCTTCTAGACCTTGGTTTGTTTATGCTTAAAGCAGAGAGAGCTGCGTGCTCTCCTGAACTCCGGAGTAAGAGGCTTGCGTCTTCTCCTGTGCTCTACTGACCCTTGGAGCAGCCCACTATCCCCTTTAATGGTGGTGAGGCTGGAATACGTGTTGAGCACTCTCCGAGCTCAGCCGTTAGCACCACTCGTTTGCCGGAAGGCTAGTGGGTTCTGCAGACAGAGACCCCCGCCCTCTGACTGGCTGCTGGCTGCTTCCAGAGCCTGGCCTGCAGGCAGTGGCTGCAAGGACCCCTTTCTTGGAGTTGGGACACAGTCCCAGCCATAGGACTGAGACCCAGTACCAAGATCCCCTCTAGAAACTGTAGGCCTGAGAGAACGTCTCCTCTCCCTTTGACCAGCCTGGCCTGCTGTGTCCTGCCCTGAAACCCACCTCATCCTGAGAACACCTCACGACTGCCCACTCCCCCTCCCCTGGTCAGGCTCCCTGCTGCCTTGGAGGTACTTACTGCAGGAGAAGTGGGTGTTCTGGCTGGCTTGGCAGAGATGTGTGCCCTGGGAGCCACCCAGCCCCTCAGGGGGGCTTGCAGCAGTCTGACGGCAGGGGCCAACCTCAGCATGCTTGTCGGGCGAGTGCTTGCCTGAGTGCAGCCAGGTTCCGTGTGTCCGCTAGGCGTGTCCTTTGCTTGCTTGGCTGTTGGGGCTTTTTATAGCTCGAGGGGGAGCTGCAGCTGTTCCCTCCCATCACAGGGCTTGGCAGAAAGGACACCTGCTTGGACCCAGAGAAAGCCGGCCTCAGACCAGCGGCCTGTCCCCTTGCTGTGGTGCGCGAGGGCCTCGAGCCCATTGCAGTGCGGGGAGGTTTGGCCCACTCCAGAAGAGGCTTTCACTTCCTTGTAAAAGAGGAACTCAACAAAGGAGCAGGACCAGGGACATCAGGTTTGAGAATGCAAGAGGGGAAAAGTGACATAATTTCAGAGTAAACCTTCCATATCTGGGGTGTCGGCTGGCAGTACCATGCAGAGCAGCTTCACAATTCTCTGACTTGGGAACTCCTGGCTGGGCCACCCAGTCTTCTCTTTCTTAACTGATGGAGCAGCCAGGTGTTTGTGGATGCTGCTCCACCGGGGCACAGCACATAGCGTGTCTGAGCATCCTCTTTGTCACTAACAGCCTCCACTCCTCTGCGTGGGGGGCGACCTTCAGTTGTGCCATGGAGGAACAGAAGTGGGAGGAAGTTCAGCAGACACTTTCCTGAGTGCCGGCAGTGGGTGGGCCTCAGACCCCTACCTCCAGGCCCGCAGGTAGGTAACGCACCAGGCCTAGTGCTGAGTCTGTGCTGCCCGCCAGCCGCCGGCCACGTGTGAGCGCAGAGCCTCCCTGCCTCTCTGTCCTACAGACAATGAGTCACTCACCCCTTCCTACAAAAACATTGACTAGCAAATTTGTTTTCCTGCTCTCCAAGAGGCTGTTTCACACCTTCTCTCTCTGCAAAGACCACCCACCACCACCACCACCCCGCCTCCCAGCCTGCCTTGAGGACTCTGCTGCTGATGTCCCTGAGAGAGTGGAAGCAACCAGATGAGACCGACTGCCCAACCCCAGTCCCTGACTTGCGGGAGAGCAGTGGCCTGTGCCTTGTGCGCCGAGATGCCAAGGTCAAGGCCTAGGCCCCAGCGTCTTCTCCAGCCTCTCTCCCCTTGGCGCCTGGTTTTCCTCCCACCTTGACCAGACCCTGCCTGACCTCAGACAGCCCCAGACTCTGCAGTCTCCCCATCCACCCTCCCCAGATCTCATCTGGCCTTGACACCTCAGCTGCTCCTTCTCAATCAGGACACGTAGGATGTCCTGAGGACCTGTGATCAAGCCCCCTTACCCTTCCTCTCCCAGCTGCTCAGGCCAGATGCTGGAGCATCAGCCTTCATCTCCCTCTAGAGCTCGCACTCCACATCCAGTCCACCAACATCACCATGCCATCCCCAGTCCAACCTCGAATGTGTCCTCCACAGCTGCTCCACACAGCAGCCAGGACAGTCCTTCTAGAACAATCAAGTCTCATCACTGCCTCTGCTCAGCGTCCTCCAAGAGGCTCCACTCACCTCCTTCTCATGGCCTCCAAGGCCTGAGTGGTCTGACCACTGCCTGCCTTGGCCCTCACCTGCTCCCCTGCACCCTAGCATGGGCTCCTGCCTTGTCCCAGAAACACACCCTTGCTGGTGCCTTTGCCTGGACAGCCTTCCCCTCACATTTTCAGGTCATTCAGACCCTATTCAAATGATGTCTCCTCAGATAGATCTCACTGATTGTCTCCTCCTGTAGCTGGAATATAAACCTCATGAGAGCAAGGACTGTGGTGTTCACCACGGAATCTTTGGGACTCGGAGCAGCGTCTGCTTAGCAGATGTTGAATCAATGTTGGATGGATGGAGACAGGGGTGGGGTGAAGGAGGGACAAGTGGCTGGGTGGGTGGACAGGTAGAATTTCCATTTTACGCCGGGCACTGGGTGAGACTTGAGGGATCCATGTGGAGTCAGACGTGACAGAAAACTGCAGGGATCATACTGCACATCAGAATAGCCTGAGAGACTATCGTTGGCAGTGATGGAGGCCCAGCCCAGAGCGCGCTCTCCAGCTCTCTCCAGAGCAGATCCATGTGGGTGTAATCCCAGGAGCCAAGAAGCAGCAGGACATCTGACCACATCCGTCCCCAGACCCCCAGACTCAGCTGTGCCAACATCCTCACTAGGGATCATCAGACCCAGTCATTTGTGTAGAAATGGTGAACTGATGATGTGACTACATTCCATGAGGAACATAATTTCACTTTTGTTCTGCCCTGGAAACCACACTTATTTCTGGGCTCCCCGCCCCACCTCCAGGGGCCCAGGCCAGACCATCTTCCTGTGACTTGGTTTCCCAGCGAGGAGCCAGGTCGTGGGAGGCCAGAGGAAGGGTGTGTCCTGAATGTTATCTCCAGCGCCTGGGTCCCAATGCCAGCCTTAGGCCCTCTGGGGCTCTACCCCTCCTGTGGAATAATCCCTTCCGCTGAACCTTTAATTATAGCTTTGGGGTCCAGGTGGGGATAAGGCTGGGGATCAGAGGACCAGTCACCCAGCGAATGGTGTTTCTTCTTTCACAGATAAGACCTGCTGCCGTCCCCGCCCAGGACCAGCTCTGAGGGGGGCCTTCTCCACCCTCCCTGGCTTGGGTGGGGTTAAGGGGCTAGGCAGAGCAGGTGGGGTACAGGAGAGTGCGTACTGTGCTCCAGGCCCCCAAGCAAGTCCCCCAGCTTCCAAGCACTGAGGATGGGGCCCCAATGAGAGCCAAGACAGGGTAGCTGGGGCCACCCTCCAGGGGAGAGGGTCAGCGCAGGCCTCTCCTCAAGCTTGGATGGCCACGCCAGTGTCAGCCTTCAGACCCTTCTCATACGTCGCCCGAAGGCCTTCCAACCTTTCCAAACACAAACCCACCCACCTTGCTCCCCTTTCACGTAGTGTCTGGGGGATCCTGGTCCCTACAGCAGTAAGCTGCAGGCCTCACCCTAACTGGGCTTTTAGTCCCCAGAATCAGTTTTTCAACCAACCCCTACGCAGATCCCGGCAGCCCCCACACACACAGAGGCTGTGCGGTGAGGTGCCTGGCACTGCCTCTCCCTTCATTGCCCCATGGCCACGTTAAGCCCCCACAGAGCACAGCCCTGTGTTCTGGGCTCGTCTCTTCCACCAGGATCTGCCTTGTCCTGGAAGAAAATAACGTGACCCATGGAGAAAGGGGTGGAACCAAGCGGGGGTCACATTAAACAAGGCAGTGAAAGGCCCTGAGGGTGCAGGGTGGAGACAAGGCCCCTATAACAGCTGGAGAAACCAAGGTGTGGAGACAGAGCAGGGCCAGGGCTCAGGCCCGGCTGGGCCTCCATGAGGGTGGCATCAGGAAGAGTTCTCAAGGGCTCCAGTGGACACAAGTGTTCCCGTTGCCTGAATCCTTGCCCTCATCTCCTTCATCCAACCACGCTCAGCACATACCTATCCATCTTGCCCTGGGCCTGTCCCTGCTGCCCCTGGGGGTGGACGGTGCAGACCAGCCACCTTGCCCACCCTCCCTCACAAAGCTACAAGGCCACCTGGAAGGTCTGGGGTGGACACTGTGGGCACATGGCACCACCCTGTGTCCACACTTGGAACTACAGAAGCTGCTGGAGAAAGTAGAGAGGCCCTCACAGAGAGACAGTGGGCACAGCCCTCTGCAGCAGAGGTTCTTAGCATCAGGGACCCAGAAAAAATGCACAGGCTTGAAAATATTTTCATATTATTTTTATTTCATTGGAAATCTATTTTTATCACATAAATCAGTGTTTCTCAAAGTGTGATCCCTGAACCAGCAGCATCAACATCACCTGGGAACATGTTAGAACTCAATTAGAAACTCTGGGGTGGTCCCAGTCGTCCACTACAAGTCCCCCAGGGAATTCTGGTGCACAGTCAAGTTCGAGAACCATTTTCATGTCATATAAAAACTTGATGCTTCACACTATTTCATTCACAACTAAGTAGTCACTTCCAGAAACACTAAAATCTCACCCAGGTTGCAAAACTCAGCCCCTTCCTTTTATCTACAAAAACACACTTCCACTGGGGCTGGCCCTGTGGCCTAGTGGCTAAGTCTAGCATGCTCTGCTTCAGTGGCCCACGTTCATGGGTTCAGATCCCAGGCATGGACCTACACCACTCGTGAAGCCATATCATGGTGGCATCTCGTATACAAAATAAAGGAAGGTTGGCACAGATGTTATCTCAGGGCTAACCTTCCTCAAGCAAAAAGGGGAAGATTGACAACAGATGTTAGCTCAGAGGGAATCTTCCTCACCAAAATAACCGCAAAACCCCACACTTCCACTAAGTATTTCTTAGGTTTAGTAGGAATTACTGAAACTCTAGGGCTCATGGGTAGAGATCCTGTGGAGGGGGACGGCTGCCCCCTTCCTCACCCTACCTGCTCTGTGCTCCCCTCCTCTGAAGCTCAGCTTCCACCCAGGTCCTCTTCATATGGAACATGCCCACAGAGAAACTCTGGTGCTAGTTGATAGTCATAGCATTTTCACAACTATGACAGTTTTGTTGATGTGGTGATTAATTTTATGTGTCAGCTTGGCTGAGCCTTGATGCTCAGATTTTTGTTCAAACGTTTTTCTGGGTGTATCTGTGAGGGTGTTTCTGGATGAGATTAACAGCTGAGTCAGTGGACTGAGTGAAGCAGATTGCTTCACCACAACGTGGGTGGGCCTTGTGCAATCAGTTGGAGGCCTGAATAGAACAAAATGTTGACCTGCCCACGATCAAGAGGGCACTCCTCTTGCCTGACTGAATGAGCTGGGACATGAGTATTTCCCGCCTTCAGACTTGAACTGAAACGTCAGCTCTTCTTAGGTTTGGAGCCTACAGGCTTTACAACTGGAACTTAGACTATCAGGTCTCCTAGGACTCCAGCTTGCTGACTGCAGATCTTAGGACTTCTCAGCCTCCATAATTATGTGAGCCAATTCCTTATAATTGTCAGCTGAAAAAAGCAAATTTGCAGGGTCAGCCTGGTGGTGTAGTGGTTAAGTTCACATGCTCCACTTCAGCAGCCCAGGGTTCACAGGTTCGAATCCTGAGTGTGGACCTACACACCACTCATCAAGCCATGCTGTAGTGGCATCCCACATAC